GGGAGGGGAGGGGCAGGAACGCAGCCCATACCCGATGTGATGCTGCTTCTGCTGCTGCTCTAAACCCCGGTCTCTGCCAGTGTCACTGCAAGTCCACGATCCAGAAATTACTGGAGTGTTGCACCGCGCAAAACATTTCAGTAGCGTAGCTGATGGAAACGGAGTCCGTTAGACATGTGCGCGAACGTTTTCGGCGCATTGAAAAGGTGAGAAATATGCTGCGCATTTTAGGAGGTGCTGAGATATGCTCGGATTGTGTCGGAAAGGGTTGGCTGGTGTTCAGAAGCAATACAAATGTCCTTCTGCGATGGTTTCGTTCATGTAAATCCAGGCACAGCGCTGTCAGATTGCAGGAAGCATCGTTTTGGTGAGGCATGTTCAGGTTTGTGTTCTCTTCTAACTCTGCCTTATTGATTTTATAGTTCATGTCACGGAGGTAGCCACATATTCAGTACTGAGGGACGAACAAATGTAGTAATTTAAGAATCAGCCACTGAAAACCCGGGGACATGTTAGGTTCCTGGTTCACGTATCGGGGTTCAGCTGTAAGACACTCTTCATGAAGGCACAGATGATGATGATGATGAAGAGACGTGTATTGAATTAATTCATCCTCCGTGAACAGAAGACGGTTTCACTGACCTCGCCGGTAACACCAGCATCAGAGCTGCAGTGCACAGTTCCAGAATCTCGACTCCTGCCCTGTAATATTGATGCTGAAGTTTGAAGACCCCTGCTATAGGTCTCAGTAACTGTGATAGAAAAGAAGTTTGGTCATTTTTAATTTAAAAATTAAATATACTGGTCTTGTTCTGCCAGGACATTATCCATTAAGTTAACAGACATTCCTTTAACTTTTAAACAACACAATGAGCGCGTTTACATGCACGCTCTTAAGCCGATTATGTTTAATAAGCCGAAAACGCACTTGGTCATGTAAATCGGAGTAAGCATAAACCGATCGCAACAGGTCGTTTTTTGCCTCGTACTCCGATTTCGCACGGCATGTAAACGCAATAACCCGCTTTCTGTCGGCTTATTGAAGTGCGCATGTGTGATACATGACAGGATCGCATCTTTAGTGCAGATCTAAGCGCATCTAGACCGAGCAAACATCTTGCAGTAAAGAAAGAAGGAAATATATCACAAAAGCAGACTTTTTCATGACTCAGAAAATGATAAAAATGTGTTCTCATCTCGTGCAGCAGAAGTAGAAGTGGTTCAGTCACAATGCTGCGTTTATAACTGCATGAGAGGATAATATATGAGATGTAAGTTTCCCGACATGTTGCAAGCTTAATTTAACATCGCAACTGACAAATGTATGCAATACTCGGAGATTATATTTTGACGTCATTACAGGGAAATAACCTGATTTATTAATGAAGTTGTCAGGTTACTGATGTGCATGTAAACTGGGAAAACTGTTATTTTAATAAACTGATATTTGTGAGTTATCAGCTTACTGGTGTGCATGTAAACGTGCTCAATGATTAATTCAAAATATGGGTAAAACACCTGTGAAAAAATCAATACGGAATCAATTCCTTAATATTACAATATGAAGGTACAAATAGTACACAGTACATTAGGCCTTTTTTTTTTTTTGACTTTTCCATAGTGTACGTCATTTATTATTTATGTTAAGTTAATGTTTATTGCATCATTTTAGTGTCATGTGTGTTACCCTGATGGTTGTGACAATATTTTCTACTCTGAATTTCTGGCAAATGCAGATGCCTGTTTTTACCGTAAATTTAACAGGATGTTTTTAACAGTATACTTAAAAAAATGAAAATAGGCCTACTTTTTGATTATTGTGATGATGATGAGACATTGCATTCAGCCTCCATGTACAGAGAACATTTTTTGTTTAGTCTAGTTAGACCTCCATCAGTTCCTGTGATTTTTATTATTATTATTATTATTATTTTAAAATAAGGCAAACAAGGATATAAGTACAGTTCATTCAATACTGGCATGATGAACGGCTCGAATAGTTCCTGTATCATTCAAATACAACAACATACAGATTGTTCAGCTGACTAAATGTCTTTACGGAGAAAAAAAACAACTTTCAGTTTTGAAAGTTGTGAGTTGTGAAAATGACATGACCGAAGACCTTATACAGTTTGTGCCATTGTAAAGACTGCAAGTCTATCCCTCACAGGCCCATTTCCATCTGTTAAATAATGTGTGTTGGTAAGAAAATATGTGCGCAATTTGGAATCAAGTCTGTATGTCCATATTATTGATTTTTTGTTGTGTATAAGTGACATAAGGTGTTTGTTTTGTAGTCAATGAAGTGGTTCTTGAGCCTTATTGACAGTGTTATTGGAAATACAGAAGGCAAAAAAATGTAGGAAATACTTAGGGTTTACTCATTTGGCCCAATAAGTGGGGACCATCCATAAAAATATTGTTCCAGCCAGGCCATGTGAATTTGAGTTTTAGAAGATAATTCATTGACTCTGATGTGGCTGAATGCCATGAATAGTGAGAGAAACAGTGATGTATTTAGCAGTTCCCACTGATAAGCTTTGGCATGGATGGCATGTTGGCTCTATGGCTTCACCCAGATTTCATAGTCCAAAGTGTTTGTGCCCATATTTACTTGCAAGAAGTTGGAACCTATAATAAGAGGTCTTCTGTGGCTTAAATTACTGGATAGCGGAGAATGATAAAGGAGGGGTGAGACAGAAAGCTGGGTAGCAGTTGGAGAATCTGGACAGATGATGGTTCTGACTCATCCTTATCTGACCCTTCCCTTCCCTCCTACAATCACAGCATGACGTCACATTAACGTTGTAGTGTTGCTCAACTGTGGGAACCAGATATTCAGCAAGCTAGGTGAACTGTTCATAAGTTCTCTTGAACTTGGGTGTTTCTTGGGAGTATTCAAGGAGTATGTATTTGATATTTTTAATGTGACCGTAATATATAACTGGTTTTGTTAGATTGGAGCAGATGATGCTTTTCAGTGGGAATCACCTTAAGTATGGTGCTTATTTTTATTTATATATGGCTAGTGTAATCATTTTTATTGACACTGCTGTGAGTTTTCTTCTTGACAACGTCCAGGCTGTTTACCTGTTATATAAAAGGATAAAGCACCCAAGGCATACTTTTAGAGGGGAAAAAAAGCCATCAAGAACAAGCTTAACATCTCAGATCCTGAGGACTGCATTCTCACTGCACAGTTGTAAATGTATTGTGCATTAAAGTAATATTCAGGATTAAATGCAGTTTCATCTCTTTCATCAGCATCTGTGTCATACTCTCGATTAACACTGAAAATAATTTTGACTCATGCCTCAGTTTGTAATGTGTGTTAGAGCTGCACAATTAATCGATTTTCTAATCGCGATTACAATTATGGATGCCACAATTACGTAATCGTTCAAACCGGCAATTAATCGTTCAAAGTCCACTTATGTTATTCTGTGTGCTTAAGATGCTTTTTTTTCTTTCTACATGTTATCTTAAGGGTTTTTCCATTGTTTTAATTTTAGTTTTAGTGTAACACTATAATACCATTTATATTTTTACTTTTTTTTTATTTAAAGAAGAAACCAATCCGATGTATAGTTGACATTTGAGGCTTAATACTAAAGAAAAGCACTAAAAGTTTTCAGTTAGTGTTTTCAGCTTGTTTATTTTCATATAAAAATACGGCATGCAGTTGCATCAAACAATGGTATAAACATCATTCAATGTAAATTGTGATAATTGTAATTAATAATCGCAATTACAATTTCAAGGGAATAATCGACAATTATGATTTTTGTCATAATCGTGCACCCTAATGTGTTTACAGCTGTAACATTGTATAACATTGCACCGATTGCAATTTTCTTGGCCGATTACGATTTTTTTGTTAGTGTGATCTGCCGATACCGATTTTTGCCGATTCCGATTTTCTTTCTAATAACTATAATTGACAGCATATAGCAAAGTTTTATTTTCATACAAAAAAAAAAAAAAGTGAAAAGTCAGTAATAAAATAAGAACAAATTCAAAAATTGCAAACAACAGCACAAATAAATGCAATAGAATAAAGAGAGAGTTTTTCAGGTTAAGTAAATTTTTATTCGGGTAAGAAATGCTGGATGCGTTATTTTACATTTGATTACTTTAATTTCTGTAGTCTTCATTGTAAAACTTTAATACAGATTAATGCTTACCATTAAAGTTATAAAACGTATGGAGTCAAGAGCAGAAAGTGATTTTCTTTGTCTTTTGTTCTTTGATTAACATGACAGACAGCAGCAGAAATATTGGACTGCGGTCCCTTTAAGAGTTTATCCACGGACCCAATATACTGTGTATGTAATGTAATGTAATTAACACCCAATATACACAACATGCGTTCTCTTTCTCAACTATTTAACATTCCAAAACTGACTGCCTTTAACTGGATACTCGCCAAGATGGGCATTTTGACATAATTTTGTATGTATTTGAACATTTTAGCACAGTTAGCCACTCATTTTGGTATTTGTGGCTCACAAGCTGTTTGAGACTGAGCGCGGATTACTAGTAATAGTGCTAGGCAACGATTAATTGCATCCAAAATAAAAGTTTTTGTAAATATGTGTGTGTACTGTGTATTTTTATTATGTATATCTCAACTATTTAACGTTGCAAAACTGACTGTTTAACTGGATACTCGTCAAGGCGGGCATTTTGACGTAATTTTGTATGTATTTGACCGTTTTAGCGCAGTTAGCCTCTCATTTTGGTATTGTGGCTCACAAGCTGTTTGAGACTGAGCGCAGATTGTGCGCTCCACTAATATAGATCAGTGGTGGTGCGCGCGCGTTTGGTATAAGCGCAAAACCTGCGGGAATGACTAAAATAATGCGCAATACAAGCACTATTTAACCGGAGCGAATGAGACGTTCGGAAAGAAGCGAGACTGACCGACCGATCACCGATCCGGACCGATAATGAGGAAAATCGGCCGATTCAGATCCCTGGCCGATCGATGCATCTCTATTTATAATGTTACAAAAATGTTATATTTGAAATGCTGTTCATTCAAGAATACTAAATAAAACATACTATCACATAGGGCTGGGCGATATGGCCCAAAAAATGATCACGATAATTTTTAAAAAATGTATTTCTTAGTTTCTGCAAGTTCTAATGAGTGATATTGTTCAAATCAAGAAACAGGTTTGGGTTGCCTGATAACATTAATAATAGTAATATCACTTTTTTTTGTCTATTAGAAATGCACATTTGATAGTAGTTTGAGTTAAGATGCAGAGGTAAATATTTGTTCATTATCAAAATCAGTAACATCTGTAAAAATTTTAGCAACCTCAATTTTATATGGTTAAATTTATTCTGACTGATTTTTTTAATATATTTTTTTAATTAAGCATTGGTCTCCCATAGTAGCATACATTTAAATCATGATAAACACAGTTAAAACCACACATATAGCACCTCAATACCATGGTAAAAATATAACTATATGGTTTTTAAGTAGCCTATTTGTATTAAAAACAGTCTAAACATATTCAGTATGAATGCACACATGCTATAGCTTAATTACAAATACATACTATAATTATATACCATTACTCCTGTAATAAAATTCAACGTGAATATCCCACATTTGTGCCACAATACCATGGTGCAGTGAGTGTTACTACAGTAAATCCATGGTAAATGATGGTGATATGTAGATTGAAAAGCGTTCTGACTGTCTCATTGCACACCGTGTTTCTCCTGTTTGGCTTTAAACTAGTTTAAATCACCGAGTCATTTGTGTTCATCGCTGAATTCAAGCACTTCACACTGTATCTCACAGCGCTGCTTAATGCTCGTGTGACGGAGTAAACGCATCTGCACTAGTGAGCTCGTGCCAAATGAGTCGCGCTGTTTCTTCTGCTTTTATATCGAACATTTATCGAACTATTCATATCGTTTTATTGAGGAAACTTATATCGTGATAATTATCGTTATCGAATTATCGCCCAGCCCTACTATCACAGCATAAGGTCACATAATATTGTGTTCCTCAAAAAATATTAAGCAACTGTTTTAATGCTGATAAAAATAAGAAATGAGCAAATCAGCATATTAGAATTCTGAAGGATCATGTGACACTGAAGACTGGAGTAATGATGCTGAAAATCTTATCAAACTAGATAATAGTTCTTGTAATATTTCACAATATTACTGTTTTTCTGATTATTGTTGTGCATAAGAGAAGTTGTTTGCTGTGGTAATCAAACTTAAACTCAATAAACAAATCCTCCATTCAAACTTTATGGTAGATAATTTCAGTCTCTGGTGTGTAGTCTATTTTTGATGTTTGTAAACTTTTTTTTTTTTTTTAAGTAAGATTACATCCCCCATTGATGTACATTGATATAAATTAATCGATATAAATGTAACTGATGGTGTCATTGCAATTTGCATTCATTGCATTTATTTACATATTAAATTGGTTTCATCTCCATTGCATACAGACATGGACATTGACTGTGTTGATTCATGTGTGCAGTAAACTGTTGCTGTGTAAACAGCAAAGCGGCTCTGGTGCAGATTCAAAGCCTAAAATTTAAATTTACCCAAAACTTTAACCCTATTCTTTTGCTGCCTTGCAGGCACTGCTGTTTCCTTAGGAAATGCACATCTAATGTTGATCAAAAGAACTGCATTTTTAAATAATACAATAATAATAAATTACACACATGCTGTTATTGTATCCTTAACTTCATGCTCCGGAAATGGCCACATAGAAAGTAGTATATTTGTGCACTTCTTTTAGTTACATTATATTTTAAAGCCTTCTGCGATCTCTTCCATGTCTGTTATCAAATAGAGAGCCCTATGGTCTGGGTGCTAATGGACACTGTCTCTTTAAGGACCACGAATATGATCTGTCTGTGACATCACAGACACTTCCCTGGGGAATAGCAGTGGCAGTCTGCAGCCAATAAAATATTGTCTAGGACTTTGAATCTGCAGAGGTAAGACAGCACTGAATGGACTGTGTTCTTGAAGGGCATCTGTACTTAGGGACACTTCATTTCTCTAAACATATTCTGCAGTTTGGGTTTGTTGGAGCATTTGGGTTGACACACTTTTTTCTAACATGTGCTAGCCAGATTTTGCCATCTTTTTGTGGAAATGAGTTGGACCCATGGTGTCACGACTCCGGCAGGTAGGAAGTACATTTTCCAAGACCCTCCAGTAAGTTGGGTTGTTGCAACCTGACTGTTGTTGTCAAAATCAGATGAATGGATTCATTACATAAAGTCAGACTTCGTACGCATTAACGGTTGCATTTCAGATGGACAGATTAAGCAATTTATATGAACCTTCTGGTTTTCAGAAACTGTTTCTTCACAAAGTTTGTCCACCTAATAAATGGAGGTTTGTTTTAGTGATGTGTCATGCATTCAGACAGTTCCTGTTTCCTGCTCTGGCATGCCTATTTGGTAATTGTTTTGTTTATGATGGCTGTAGTTGGAAACATCTGGCTGAGTCAGCCTTAGTCATCACAGCTGTACAACACATAGAACCTGTGCACAAACCTCTCCTGTGTTTTTCATCATAGAAGTTTACCTGGGTTAAGATTAATCCTATTTTATCCCACCACACAATTATATCTTTTTTTTTATTTCTCATTACAGGCATCCACTAAAAATGACACACTGGTTAAAGTAATTTAAGAAAAGAAACATTTGTTTGTCACCATATGTCTTTCTGATGTCATTTGGTTCAGTGTTTTGTTATTTTGATTTAATGCAATGAAATTCATGCATTTTTAAGCCTATCTTAAATGGATATTTCTCCCAAAAATGAAAATTCTGTCATCATTTACTCACCATCATGTTATTCCCAACCTGTATGACTTACTTGCTTAGAAATTGTGAAGAATGTGGGTAACTTAAAGACATAGTTCACCCAAAAATGAAAATTCTATCATTAATACTCACCCTCATGTCGTTCCAATCTCGTAAGACCTTTGTTCATCTTCAGAACACAAATTAAGATATTTTTGATTAAATCTGAGAGCTTTCTGACCCTGCATAGACAGGAACGCAACTGAAACGTTCGAGGCCCAGAAAGGTAGTAAGGACATCATTAAAATAGTCCATGAGACATCGGTGGTTCAACCGTAATGTTATGAAGCTACAAGAATCATTTTTGTGTGCAAAGAAAACAAAAATAACAACTTTATTCAACGATTTCTTCTCTTCCAGGTCAGTCTCCTCCGCATGTTCACGAGAGTACGATGACGCATGCATGTGATGCTACTCATAAATGTTTACCCATAAAAGTAAAAGCTTCTCTTTTACTTGTATTCCATTTCATCCACATTGACACCATGTCCCAACATCATCCTCTCACTATTTCCATATCCTGACTAGCTCACCTCTCTCTTCTCTTTCAGCCTGTTTAGGAAACCCTTTGATGGTGGGAAGAGGACAATGGATCATGGCAGTCAGCAGCCACAAACTCAGCAGACGCCAGGACCCTTCCCAGGTTATACGGGACCCCAGGGCCCCTACCCTGGGCAGCACCCAGCCCTGTTACGGTTAGATGAGGTGCAAAGGGAGATTGTCACCCTGGGCCCACAGGTATGCTCTTACAGCGGCCTGCAGAGCGACAGAGAGTACAAACGACTGGAGCGAGAGCTGACCCGATTGCTGCTGGAGGTCGATAAGGTCAGGACAGGCCATCAACGCCAAACAAACTTTTTGGTTCAAATGAAGTCACACCAGTTCATTCTTCTTAACCATGTTTGTTTCCCAACCCAGGTGGAGACGGAGGGCAGGCCGGAGCTTCAGCAGGCTCGGAAGCGTGCGGCAGGAGAGGTGGAGGGTCTGCTTCGCTACCTGGAGGGCAATGCTACGCATCCGTCTCGGCTGGCCATTGAGGAACTGACCCAGGAGGCGCAGCGCTTGCTGAATGAAGGGGTCATAGGGCCGTTCCGACAGGGCCAGGCTCAAGATGCCTTTGAGATCAGCGAGGAGCTGGTGGAGGCTGTGCAGGACGTGTCCATGCGGCTGGCTCAGGTCAAGACGGGAGGGAGTGTACCACTCAGAAAGGCACGTTACAAAGCATTGACAAGGGTCTGTGCTGTACAGGAAATACTGGAGGGTCGTGTACGCACTCATATGCTGGCGCTGCCGTTGTCCGATGACACGCACGAGGCCGTGCAGCGTATTAATCAAGTCATGGCTCAGGTGAGTGTTATTGCAAAAAATATATATCATGAGAAGTCACAAACCTGCATCCTAACTTGCAAATCACTGTTATTTATTTTATGTGATCATACCAGCACATAAAAAAACAGACATTTTAATTTTAAGGGTCAGAGAGAGAGTAGAAAATGGCCATTAAATGTTATTAGTGTTAACATAAGTTAAGAACCTCAAGGAGAAAATAAAATCAAAATGTACTACCGTTCAAACATTTAGGGTGAGTAAGATCTGAAGGATCATGTGACACTGAAGACTGGAGTATTAATGTTGAAAATTCAGCCTTACCATCACAGGAATAAATCACATTTTAAAATATATTAAAATAGAGAAGTTATTTTAAATTGTAATAATTCTTCTCTATTTTACTGTATTTTTAATGTAATAAATCGAGACTTGATGAGCATAAAAGACTTCTTTAATAATTTTTGAAAGAATGTTCTGATTTTATGCTTGAAACAACTTAAACGATGTTGACAGTAAAGTAAAGAAAACCTGAAAGGAGCTCATCTTGTGTAGGTGAGTGGTGCCCGGTGCCAGGAAGTGGCTCTGCTGATGGGTCTGAGTGGGCGTGATAGCTGTGCCCACCTGGCGAGGATCCTTACAGAGCTGTTGGTTGAACTGGACGCCCTGGATGTGTCTAGTAATGCTGCAGTGAGGAACTACAGAAAACAAGTAGTGGAGGAGATCAATGGTCTGCTAAAACATCTTGACCTGGAGGGAGAAGGAGAAGACACACACAGGTAACACCAAATACACACATCAACACTACAATATGTAGCACCAGTGAAATGCAGTTTTTTGTTTACTTGTGCAACATTCAATTAGTCTTATTTAAAGATGAAATTTTTAAATATAAATTTGATTTTTTTTGTTAAAAGATTAAATTTTATATATACAAAAGTTTTGTATAATTAATTTTTATTTTATTTTTCGGAAATAATTATCTTATGCTTACTAAGGCTGTATTTATTTGATCAAAAATAAAGTAAAAACTGTAATATTGTGAAATATTATTGCAATGTAAGTTTTCTAATTTGATATTTTAAAATGTCTTCTGTGATGCAAAGCTGAATTTTCAGTATCATAAGTCTTCAATGATCCTTCAGAAGTCTAGAAACTAGAAAATATTAATTTCTACTATTAAAAACAACAATTTTACATACATTACCATTCAAAAGTCTGAGGTATCATGGTTTCCACAAAAATATTAAGCTGCAAGTTTTTTTTCAACCTTAATAATAATGAAAATGTTTCTTGAACATCAATGATGAAGAAACATTTCAAATATTAAGAAATCATTTTTGTTATTTTTTAAATTTTTAAAGATATAAAATGTGATATATAAAAATTTTGTTATTTATATCCAAAATATAACTTGTACGTGATCAAGAGTTATTTTTAATGGATTATTAGTTACTTTTTCTATTTTTAACCTATATTAATGAAGTTGATTCATTGTACCTCCAGGTATGATCTAGCGCAGAATGACTCGATTCGTGAAATTGAAGCGATCAGGGGCCATGTCTCAGTGCTGCGGGAGGAGGTGCTTCGGCACGGTGCTGCAGGACAGGGGACGGAGCTGCAAGGTCTCCTCACACACCTGGATCAGGTGGACACGGGGCGAAATCCCTGCATTCGGGAGGCGCGGCGCAGGGCCGTGTTGGAAGTTCAGGCACTCATCACCTTCCTAGACCTCTGGGAAGCCCTAGGACGGCGTAACCCCGGACCAGACGAGCCTCCGCCTCATGTGGCCGTGTGGCGTGTCTTAAGCAGCCTGTGCAACCTGCAGGCTCAGGTTTTGGGCTTTGACGGCAAGAGGGCTGACAAGAGCTACATGGTATTGGAAGAGCTACTGACCAAACAACTACTGGCTCTTGATGCTGTGGACCCTCAGGGCGACCAGGGGACCAAAATTGCCCGTAAGCAAGCTGTTAAACACGCCCAGAATATCCTTAGTTACCTGGATATGAAGACAGATGAGTGGGAGTACTGAGAGGCCAATAAAAGAGACTGAGAATAAGGAGCTGCAAGAAAAAGGCAAAAGCTTTTTTGCCTCTTGTGCAACATATGAGGACACGGTCGTGCCGAGGATATAGGCCATGGGCGGAATTTTTAATTTGTGTATAAAAGACTTTGTGTATCGCCGTGGGCAGCGAGACTGTTACCCATGATGCACTGCACCTGCTGCTTTTTTTGGTCCATTACTGGTCCCTGAAAACTGCCTTTATTCTGCCAGAAGGGAATGCTGTTTCTAATGCACATGAAGCATTTGTTTTCATGACAATAACCCATGACGATCTTTTTAGTTGAATCTGTGCGGTTAATTGGTGTGGTGTGGTGCTAAACCCTGTTTTGCTGCCAAAATCTGCTTCCTGCTTTGTCCAACATGCCTGTGTGGAGCACATTTCAGTCTTTATCATGGTGTGAGTACATCAGCTCTTCATTCCTATCCAGTTAGAGCCATATAGGAGCAGATGATCCCGTTATGACCACAACAGGATGAGCAACGGGCCATTTCCTGTTAATCACACATAATGGAAAAGGCAGCTCAAGCTTAGTGTTCATAGGTTTAATCTCTTCTCTAAATTGCACTTTCAGAGCCTGAGCTATTCTCGCTACAGTTGTTAGCCGAATATAAACAACAACTGACCCAGTGGAACAATATTTTTGCATTTTCTTGCATCTTCTACATATATGTCCCAGTTTACGTTACAATAGATGAGAGTGAATAATCAGTTTAAAGGTGAAGTGTCATTTCTGCACCATTAGTGTCACCAAATTGACAGTGTTTACACTTTTCATTTAACTTAAAATTATGACTTATAGTTTAGAAATATAGGCTATTCACATTATGCTAATATGAGAAAGTGTTATAAACTTCAACTTAAAAAAAGACTCAAGGACAGCTAAAAAATCAATCAGATTTCTAACCCTTCCTGCAGTTTTGTCAGATTTCATAGAGGACTGTGGCCAAAATTGCAATGAGGTATTGACTTTCGAGACGTTTCTTTTTACTATCGATATGGAGGACAAAAAATAGAAACTAGTTCACAAGGTTTCTTGTCATCTCCATTGGTTTTTTGCTGTTAGGCAGAAAGTGCCTTTGCAAGCAACTAGGGAATCGAGCAGAGACTGAAAGTGTGCGTGTCTGTGATTGTTCAAAAAAAAGTGGTGCGTGCTATTTTGGTGGTGAGACTGATCAAAGTGGACAGGGGCATTCTAGGACATTTTCATCTGAGCAGCATGGAAAGACAGCAAGCTATCAAACACTCAAAAACTCAACAATGTGACCCAAATCTGTTTTGTGTGTGTGTGTTACACATGATAGATCTAGGGGTTTTGGGATGACAGCATGAACAAGTATAGATTTAGTTCACTTTCATATGTGGGAATAAATTGGACAAAATGAGTCCCACAAGTGACTTTTGTTGTGAACAAAAGGGTTTTCATCATATTTGCACATTGGATTTACCCTTGGTTTGAATCAAACAAATGTTTGAATTACACTCTATAAAGTAGTACACATAAAGGTGCAAAAGTATATTTACTTATTCCGTTTCTTTACTCTTTACTCTCAAATATTGTGGCTTGGTTTGAACTGTAACTATAATTTGGCACTACTGTAGATTGTTCATTGGCCGATATGAATACAGTTATCTAGAGAGCAGAATAGCCAATGGGCAATATATGATAATACAATAAGGCAATAGAGTGCAACAGTGGGGTTCTGGATTTAAAAATCATATTAATTTTCTCCATAGAGGAATTCATTTGAATGATAACTTGCTACTGTGAACTATATGGTTAATCGATGGTATATGCTTTTCTTGAAGCATATTTCATTACTTCAACTTGTTTTTTTTAATAATCATGTTCAACAGCTGGTGAAAACTACATTAACCATGATTCTGCAAAGAAATATCCACCACCTGATATTCAAATACGTTTTTGCTTCAAAACTAATGTTTTAGTTACTAAAACAAAGTTGTTTTAAACTAAAGCTCGTAGCTGCTTGGTTTCATGGCTTGTAACTCATAAATGAGACTTAAAAAAAATCTCTATGGGAAAAATGAATGGAAAACATACTTCTGGAACCAAGGCTGCTGTAAAACGTTTGCACTTCATTAAAATGACAGTGAAATTAAACAAACATTTATTTACACACTATATATATATATATATTATATTAAGTATAAATATGTTATTTAATACATATGTATATTGTATGATATCCTAAATAATTGTTACCACAGTTATAATACATTATAATATTTATCTGTTCATTGTTACAGCTTTACAAATTATAATGCTTTAAAACACATGACAAACAACCAGTTTTCAGTGTAACAAGAAACCTACAAATATTATAATGCATTTTAACTTTGTTTACAATTATTTATGAAAAGGTATAATGCGTTACAATGGACATTATGAATATCTATGTAATGCATTATACAACATTTTTCTTTTTCAGTAATCATGTTCAATTTTATTATGTAAGTTGTAAACATGTCAGGGTCAGTCATTTTGGAATGAATAGCTTGAGTGAATGATTCAATTACTCAGTTCTAAAGATCATCACTTTTGAATTCTTGAATGAATCAGTGTTATTTAATGAATCATTTGTGCATTGCCTGTTTAGAGCAGTGTTTGATATGGACTACATTTAATTAAGTAATGTAAACAACTTTAATTGAACAACTTTTAAAAAAATCATGCTGCATTTGAAAAATGTATTGGGCACTTAAGCTTGCAGTGTGAAATACCCCTCAGAGACTGTTGAGAAAAGTTGTAGGAGTAGCTTGTCTGTGGTTAAAACTGCAGGAATATCCAGTTCCACTGTTTAAAAATGGATCACTAAGGCCAGGTCGTGGTTGTACACTTTTCCCACATATGCCAAACGATGAGCTATTTTCAATCAGTGAAATTGGCATCTTCCTTTTGTTTCACACTCAGTCTAGTCGCAGCCACATTTGAATGTAGTTTTCACTCCCAAAACTTCGCTGTGTTCATGGCCACACTAAGAAAGTTTGTAAAAATAGGGCACAACTAGTGTTATTATGAAGGAATTTTTCCACATTGGTCTATTTTGCAGGTGTTTTACCTATATTTTGAATTACATATTACATTGTGTTCTGTTATAGGGTTATTTAAAGTCCGCGTGAACCGGAAGTTGCTGCCGACTTTATTTCGTCAATTTTGATTTCATGCAGACTTTAACCCTAACAAACCGTGTCTACACCGGACGCGCCGCGCCGCAACAGCTAAAGTCTGTCTGCACTGGACGCGACAAAGCGACCGTTAACAATCATTTGAACTTTGTGTCAGTACATCATAAATAGAACGCGACAGCAGTTCAGTGTCGCGCCGCGCCGCATCCAGTGTAGACAGCGTGGCTGATTATAATGAGTTCTATTGTATTTTGTCGCGCCGCTCGCGTCCGGTGTAGACAAGGTGTAACGGATGACCTGACAGAAAATTACCAGCACCTTTTCTGTTTTTCGACTGATGCATATTGTGACCATGTCTGGAGCATTAGATCAGTTTGATATGGGTATTAAACATGGCACAGTCCAAGTTCTCTGTCTTTTTTTTTTTTTTTTTTACAATGTTAGGATTTTACATTTGACATGCAGTGTAAATCTCCATCCAGATTCCATTAGCTGCCAGAGCCCTCGTCTCTCCACAGATCTCCATAATCTGTCTGACGATTGGTCTGTCAGATCTGAGTCACACTGATATCTGCAAAACTATCTCCATGGTTACAAATCACAAATCAAATCCATTCTGATTGTTGAATGGCACTTAATAGCAGATTATGGCACTTTATAGGTCAACGAGTCCTCTAGGAATATTACAGATTCTTTTGTATGTGGTGAATTAATATTATGCCTACCTTGATTGTATTACAGCAGTGTTTCTCAACCAGGGGTCCGTGGACCCCTAGTGGTCCTTGACGTAAGGCCAGGGGGTCCATATAAAGTATGCATTTTTGTATAAATGTTGTATATTTTGACATGACATGTTCCCATGAAAGAAAAATCCAATATAGCTGATGATATGGCCAAATACTGGACAAGTCAGCTAACTTGAATCATACTTGACTGTATTTGGTCCTCACAAAGACACACAAATGATACATAGATGAGTCAATTTTGTTCTGGGGGTCCTTGAGGATGGTTCTGAATTGGACTGGGGTCCGGTACGCCAAAAGGTTGAGATTCACTGTATTACAGGATGAGCGTTCAAAACAGATATTTGACATTGAGACCAAGTTCAGGCTCTATTCCTGCTTTAATGTAATGAGCGAGCATTGCACCTGTCTTTTTAGATTTTATGGCAATTACGGTACAGTCTTTATTAGTAGTGACATGACTGATGTGAGATGAGATGCGGCAAAATTGATGTTCGGTGTAAAACACCATGCAGTGTGATTTGTCAGAGGAGTTCTCCTCATTTTATGGATGCCATACTAATGTTCATTACACAAGCTACAAACACCATAAAACCCGTTACTCTGCTTGCTATATTGAGAATGTAATGAAGAATGTCCATCTTTTGTTTATACCAAAGTTGTTTTTAACTGCCATTATCTTTTTTGAATCACTTTAACTAAAAAAGCAAAAACCCACTCTTGCTTTGGTTTTCCTTATCTGACCATCTGTCTGGAAGAATGTGTTTTTGTGGTGATCAGTGAGATTGTTTAAATGTGCTATGCTGTTTATGATGTTCGACGCTTTGTGTATATTGTCTGGTTTATGCTTGTTTAAAAAAGAGCACATTATGTTCAAACTGCTGTGTGAATGTTTTGGTCAGCGGAGTGGTTTGATTTTTACATGTCTAGATTGCTAAATAAAAGATGGTGATCTGAAAATAACTTATGTTTGTGGCAAGGTATTAATTATGGCCTGGGATCTTTCAACCTGTTTCCATGTCAACCCCTCACTGTGCTCACAAAATAGGTGTTTAAAAAAGGAATTGGGATTGCCTGAGCATATAAATGCAGAGCATAGAAAATACCACAGCACACTTAGCTAAATATATCTGCCTAAACTCATGGAGTTATGATTCAACAATGGCATATCTGTCAACAGATTTCAGCGTCACAAGACTGTAAATCTGTGACTAGATATATTGAGCTAGATGATTGTCTTATTTGAAAATGTATTACTGCACAAATTAATCTTAATTTCAAATAAATGTAATTGTAACCTAATACAAATATTGCAATATGATGTTAATGCAATAGAACTACTGCCTCTAATGCAAATTATGAAATAATATAAAAAAAAATGTATTACATTTAAACATGCTGCCATTAAAATGGCTGATATTAAAAAGTGCATGTTTATCAAATGTATCTGTAATCATATACTGTATATATACTGTATATAATATAGTCTCAGATTTACAGGATCGTGATGCTGAAATCTATTGACTGATATGCCATTGTTAAATTATAACTCCATGAGTTTATGCAGATATATTTAGCTAACTAAAGTGAAAACGTTTTGAATTTGAAGATCATGGTCAATTGAACTTGTTTTGTCTTCTGGGAAACATGTAAGTATCCTCACTAGCTTCTGAAGGGCAGTACTAAATGGAAAAAAAATATGATATTTAGGCAAAATAAGAAAAATGTACACATCTTCATTCTGTTCAAAAGTTTTCACCTCCAGGCTCTTAATGCATTGTGTTTGCTTCTGGAGCATCAGTGAGCGTTTGATCCTTTTGTAATAGTTGCATATGAGTCCC